CACACACACACACACACACACACACACACACACACACACACACACACACACACACACACACACCGGCAACCTCCCTTCAAATGTGCGTTTTTGCCTCATCAGAGATGCAACAGCTCGCAGCAAACCTTTGACGGTGCAAGCGGGTGGTTTTTTTACGCGTCCACTTACAAAATTAGCAGCGTTTACTTCCGCTTGCTCTTATGTAAGATGTAGAGGAGACATGAACTTGTATTCACGTATACTTACCTGCGCATAGTACTGGATCAAAGTTACAAAATTTCAGCTCTCTGACTAGGTTGGTCAGGGAAATGGAATTTTTCAACTTTATCCAAGTGTTCGCAGCAAGACATGGAAATTGTTTTTACATGCAACTTATCCAAACGTGGTCATAGAACTCGTTCATAAAATTCCTGCTCTCTTTTGGGTTTGATTTTGGAGTTATAAGTTGTGAGCGTTAACCTTAACGCGTCCGGATGTGAGAAAATGAGAACATATGGATGTTCACTTTACGTCTGGAATTAACGCACAGTGAGAAAATAATCTGCCATAATTTCAACTTCCACTTCGTGCCTTTCATAGATCTGGAAATCAGAATAGACGGATATACACATATACAAATACTCAGCAAACTTCTCCACAATAGGTGTTTTTGCACTGCATGGGTGCAGAAAACGTACCCAATATGTGTGTGTGTTTGTGTACGTGTGTGAGTTTGCCTTTTTTTGTCTACTTATTTTTAACTGGTAAACCACACCAAAGCAGCGGAAGTTTTTCGGACGGAAGCATGCCCCGTACATGGTCTCGAGGCCAAAGTCGACTTTCAAGTTTTTCTGTGGCGCATTTTCTGACACCATACGCGACTTCGAGCAAATAGAAGCAGCGAGATTGTAATTCTAGTGACACTTTATAGGAATTGAGAGCGAGGAGGGAACAAGAAGAATTTCCGGCACTGGAAAATGTCTGAAGTCCCAAAAGCAATTTTTAACTTGGTATTTGCCGTTAGGCCCAAATTCACAGAAATACTGTGAACTGGAAATTGAGAAGCTGCAGCCTCAAAGCTGATAGACGTATTCCAGGTGGAATTCGCAAACCTAAAACCAACCCTTATCTCTTTACCATATCCCATGGCCTAAGACTCAAATCAATGAGACTCATGGTAGTAAAAAAATCGAAATTTTGCATCTTTAGTTTGTCACTCTCTGCTCTTCTTACTGAGCCATGTTGGCACATCTTGGCCTTTTCCGCAAGATGTCTCATTTTAATGATAATTAAATTACAGAAATTGGAACCTAAAAAGTTAAAATATGGATAAAATCGGATCCGACCTTGTACTGGTGTAAAATCAACTTTGTAAG